CGCCCCGCGCGGGGGGGGGGGGGGGGGGGCGGGCACCAGGGGGAGCCGCTCCAACTGAGGTGCATGTACGCCCCTCGGTGACACGGGCCTTGGTGGTCCTGAGGGCCGGATGGGGCAAAAACCTCTCCAGCGTGGCACAAGCCTCTGATAATCCATCTCAGTGTGCCCAGGTGCTGAATACTGGTCACGTAATTACTATGTTGCAATCAAAAATCATTTAGGAACCATCTCTTGGGGCCTTAAAAATGGTGGCTGGGCCTTAATGTGCTGGTTTTGTTTCCCCGTGGGCCCCCAGGCCACCTCTGTGTGGCAAACCCGGCGCTGGGGTGCAAGCTGGCATCCCCTCTTGGGCCTCGCCAGCAGGAGCCAAGGAGTCTTCCCCCGGCCCCTCGGCGGCACAGGAGTGCCGGCCCGGTTTCCTCCCACCGAGTGGGATGTGTGATGGGGACAGCAAAATCTGCCCGGAGGTAGACGGAGCCTGCCAGATCTGGAAGGCACTAGAGGGAAACAAATAATAAAATAAAAAATGTCTGCAGTGTGATGTTTATAAACCTGCTTTTTGGTAGCCTCCCAAAAGAGCCACATGTTACGTTCCTAGCGATGTTAATGGTTGCTTTATATAACTGGATGGAAAAATCCTTCCCCTGATTTCAGACATTTTGTTTCCTCTGTTTACTGGAAGTTGGAGCTTCCTACGTAGAGAAGACTCTCAAGGAGCAAGTCACATTTTCCAGAGAGTTATGTATCTGGAGAGATGACTAACTGCTGTAGACTGAGTCATGGTGAAGAAGGGAGCTCTGAGAAAAGGCAGAGAGGGGACTGCTGAAATGATGGTGGCAGAACAGAAACAGCAGCAGCCCCACAGCGAGTGCTCCTCTTCGCTTGCTACAGATGTGATCCCGTACCACTCAGTCAAATGAGACTCCTTATCTTCAGCTATCTTCAGCTTTTAATTAACCTTGTGAAAACACCCAGGGTTTATGGTGGTTGCTAAATTCGTCGGCGACTCAGCTGGGCTGAGGTTTGGTATGTCTGAAGGCAGCTGAGTTATGCTTGTGATCAAGCTCCGAGATAGGCTTAGTAGATAAACTTCCGGTATCAGCCTCTTAACTAAGTATTTGAAGAATGTATTTGAATTTGATTACAGAAAATTGCAGTCCAATTGATTCCAGGTGTACCTTGGCTCCTCACCACCAATCCAGGCAGGAAAACACAGATTCAAGCAGGAAAACACGCCACTGAACCGGAGCTGAGCCTCCAGGCAAAGCTTTTGTTTTAAAGCCTTGAGGCTGTTGGAGATTTCTCTGACCTGAGAGGAGCTCAGCTATTAGAAGAGAGCTTTCTTAAGCACACCGTCACAAAGCAAAGCAAACCAGACTCTTAGCTGCCTACTTCTTGCTAAGAAGTGAAACATAGGGTGGTCTTCTATACCAGGGGTGCTCAGATACATCAGTGAGGAATGAGAGCTGAAAACCGGAGGGGGCTAACACTGAAGAGGTGGCAACACGACTTCACAGGTGGCTGTGGCAGTGGGAGCCAAACTCCTGAGCTGTGCTAACTGCAAGAAGAAGGGATGTGGTGGAAAAGGTGCTGTGTCTCCAGAAAGGGAAGGAGGAACCGGTGCAAGTCAGTTGGCGTTTTGCTCTGGACAATGTTGGGGGGTTTCAGCTGCACCTTCTGGTGCGAGAGGAGAGATGGCTGGGAGGGAGCAAGGGTGTTTTGTGAATACAAACCCAGCTTTGGGCTGTTAAAACAGCCTGCAAGCTGTGGCTTGTAAAGGAAGCTGCCCTGCCTCTGAGTGTGCGGGGAGCTGACGTTGCTCCGGCCGAGCCCGTGCGATGATGAGCACCGCAGGGCTGGCTGGCGTTGGGAGCCGTGGTGTGGGCAGTAGGTGGAGCGCTCTGGCCCGGCGCCAGGAGCGAGGCTGTACCACTCGCAGCAAACAGCTCACGTTCAGGAAATGCCATCTGAGCAGTAGCCCAAACCATCCCGTAAAGGAAGGGTGCTGGGAAGAGCTGAGCTTCATTCCCACCCTCGCAGGGAGGGATTTGGCAGCTCCAGCCCAGCAGATGCTTCTGTCTGATGTTCCTGCAGAGAAGTGGGATGGGGGTGTCCAGGAACACCCTAATGCTTCGGAGACAGGAGGATTCCTCTGAGTAGTGTGGATACTGCAAAAGAGGCCAAATGTATGTGCTGGAAAATGTAGGCACAGGATAAACACACAGCTTTGCCTTGTACTTGGGGCAGGCGCTTACCTCTGTCCAACGAGGCCAAAAAAAGGCTGATGATAATTTCACCTTTTAAAACCCGGCAATGGGGAAGGTACCAGGCAGAGAGAACTCGATGCGGTGCTGAGCCAGCCTGAGACACCCCCATGCAACACGGTGGTGACAGTCACCTTTTGTTCTTCACATCCCTCTCTCTTTTGGCTGTTGCTGCCACAAGGAACCCAGGCTTTTTTCTGCTTCGTTTCCCCTGGCCCAGCTTTTCTCCTGCTCAGCAAACTCGCCGTGCGCAGAAGGACTCCCGGGGACTTTGCACCTCTGAGGAAACCTTTTTGCTGGAGGAAATATCGGGGTGTTGATCTCTGCCAGTGTAGCAGGAGCAAAAAGGAAAACATCTCTTATGACAGGGTTTGATTGCCAGCTGAAAATAAGTGAAGTGCCTGTCAGTGACATGTGAGCACAAAAAAGCTTTGCAGATGGAAATAAAGGCAATGCTTTTTCCTCTTCTCCTGCTCTGTCTTCCCTGCAGTGCCAGCGAGGCGTTGGCTTGCAGGCTGCAGAGCTGCGCCGTTTGAGACCCTGTTGGATCTGGATGCACAGTGCTCTTTGGACTCTTACGTATTTTCTGAAAATGGTGTCTAAAAGCGTAATGGGCATTTGCAGATCTCTAAATAGACCAGCCTCTGTCCTGAGGAGCTGACAACGTAAGGAGACAAGTGCCAGGGATGGGAGAACGGCTGCATCATACAAACCAGCCGGAGAGGTGGCACGCGGCCCACCTGCTCAGTATTTTTCCATCACATTCTCATTCATCTGCTCCTTGCCAACTTCCAGCTCTGTCACCCTCCTCAAAAGCTTCTGCTCTGGGTTTATTCAGCACGCTATTTATTTCCTAATTATAGAACTTAACTGACTAACCTCAGCCCTACTGGGTTACTGCTGTCCACTTTTTTGTCCCCTGTAGACCAGAGGCTGTGGTCTCTTCCTACGGCTGAAGGCATTTCTTCTGCTGCCCTGTTGCTAGAGACTTTCTGACTCTTTTTTCTGTTTTTCTACCAAACCAAGAGGGCTCTGACTGCTAATACAGGGAGCTGCACGGATCATTTCACAGCACATAAAGTATTGCATTCCCAAATTCTTCAGGCCAAAAGAGAAATGCCACTGAGCTGAGCACTTTACCAGGCTGTGCTCTGCCGCTTCTGTCCACGAATTCCTGACAGCCAGCTCACTCCTTTTACCCCACGTCCAGCCACAGCTGCTGGCTGGAGGAAGAGGTTTTGAAAACCACTCCCCAGCATCA